CTCATTCAAAAGATCCTTCATATGCACTGGACCTTAATTCCATTGACTATTGAAAAAACACTAGGCAAAAGTTGCTATTCAGGACAAATTTCCTTGGTTGCAGACTGCATGTTGTTGATCAACCTTGTTAGCCAAAAGAAATTAAGAGTCATGCAATTGTAAGCTGAATTTCAACTAAACATGTCATAAGACATATCTTAGTAAGGGATTGAATAAATTAATAATTGAGGCAACATTTTAATACCATCATCATTGAACAAACTGGTTTATTATAAAAAATATAATTAACCTTTTGTAATGGTAAGCATGATAGTGATATCTGGTCAACTCTTTCTGGAAGTACCAGACTCTCATACAAAGGCCGGAAATCAAAATGGTGCAAATAAAAGCTAGAATTGTCCCTAATAAACTATATGACTATACAAAAGATCAAGATGCATTGTTTGAATCTCTTTAAAATGTTTGTATAAAATTTTTCATTTGCTGTTCACTTGACTGATAAGTTATTTCTTTAATACAAATATCAATAGAAATCTGATTATTTCATGTAGAACTTATCTATTTAATGATAAATAATCATTAATCACCATTGATCAAGTATGATCAACAGATAAGTTAGCAAGGGTTTTGCACCTTGACATCTTGATAAACTACTAGCTCAACAATAATGAATGTATTTTGAAGAATAAATTTGAATGTACCTATTTTTCCAATATTTCCAATATGAACACTGGTATTTTTGGGTCCTGACAGAAGGTTAACATTTTCTTGTTAGATCCTGACATAGGAATATCATGTAATAATTTTTGGGCATTGTAAAAGAAATGTTAGAAGAGAACTTCAGCAATCATTCCATATTAAAAATTTTTGGTTTTAGTCAGACATCAATTAAATTGGAAAACTCTTTTTTATGATTCTAAAATATTGGAATTTATGTTTCTTAAAGTTTCTACAAAAACTGTAAAAAGTTCATTGAGTAATATATATAGATAAAAATATGGAGATAAGAAAATAGTAAAATTAGTGTATAAGAGTAATATTTATATAGCAGAATGAATCATCCCTATGGTAACTATATAATCAACAATGTTTGGTATCTATGGTAACAACAGATCTACTTGTAAAAGAACTAAACAGTTTGTGTAGAGTCTAGCATGCATATTTCTTACAATGCTAATCACATTTCCACCCAGAATTTATAGTTGTGTTACTGTGTAAATGCTCTTCTTGTACATCTTATTCCATTTTTTGAGTTTCAGAGAGTCTACATAATATTCATAGTACTTGATCCTTGATAAGTTTATCACAAAGGACTGAAAAAAACAAGAAAGATTTGGTTACCTCTGTAGAAAAATGTCAATGCAATATCTTAATCTGCTACCCATAATTGGGAAGAAACATATATTAAAATTAACCATGTTTTTATTTCTGACTACAACTGGACATTATCTATAAGAGGAACTTTGGTTATTTTTTTCAAAAACTATTGATCCTCTCTATATATAGTGTTAAGTTACATGTAATGAATATGTTGCTGAATCTATTTTTTTTTTTTTTTTTTGAGAATTTTTTTGATTCTGTTTGTTGATTAAATGGAAGTAAAAACAGAAGTTATTGTAAAGCTATCATATTGTATCATAAGGACAGGATAATTCTAAATAATATATATTAATGTTGGGTGTGACACCATGTAAAATCTATATTGATGTTTTACTCATATTGCTGATTATGTAACCATATCAACAAGCCCAGAATATTACAGTGTTTTTACTGAAAACTAAGAGCTTTTCTAACCTATTAATGTGTATTATGTTTCATTTTGCTCCCTTCTAATATATCAGATCATAATATCAACATGACAGGAAACTTTAAGGTCACTTTTTTTTGGTGGTAGTTAATGATTATCTGGTCAAGTTTTATCAGAATTTCTGGAATCATTGGTTAAATAGAAGCTATACATGTTCCAAAATTAGCATTCAGAAAAAAACTTACCAACCATTAAATGTCCCACATTGACCATACATCAATTGATAAACCTGTTACTTGGAATTTCTAGTCTCATTATATTTGATTAATGGTTAGGATTTTACGACTTGTGTAAAATACAAAATTTCTTGGAGCAATTTTGTGCAGTCAGAATCCAAACCTCCCTAATCCATGTAAAAGTTGTATACCTGAGCCTCCTACAACCAGTTACAATGAGGTCTCTTTCCAAAATAAGCAATCATCAAATTATGTCTCTGTAATTTTTGCTGAAAAAGATTCCTCACAAATTTAAGAAATGTTCAGAAACTCAAAGTTATCATCTTGATGCAACACAACATACATATTCTTTTATTTTCAAGAAATCAAATGTTATTTTATAACAATATTTGGTGTTACGTACGTGCCAATCTTTCTTGTAAAAGTTGGATCATATTTTGTAGTTCAGGAGTAGATGGAAGGAACAGAGCAACCATACATTGTACTGAATAAAATATTATTTACTAACACTAGCTGTCAGTCAAATGACAGTCACATGACTGTGAAACCCTTAACCATTAATTTTCCACTTAATAGAAAATTTAACAACTGCTGATTGGATGAAAATGTGGCTTTTTTTTTAGAGAGGTTCAAACATGGACTTGACATAAAAAAGGAATTTGTGAAGCTAGAGTGTGGTTTAGTTTCCCCAATCTGTTGAGGTGTTAGATTCTATATGGTATGTCAGGGATGTGCTCTTGACTTACCAGACTAACTCTGAGCTATATTTAACATTCCATTTATCAACACTACATGTGAAAAAATACTTGATTCAATCAGTGTCAGAATGTCAAGAGTTATTGCCCCTGATTCTATAAAGAGATTATGTGATCTGATAGACGTATGGCCTTTCTTTGAATGTTATAAATTGGTCAAGTATACAAGTAACTCTTTAACCTTTCAATGTATTCTTAAGACACTTAAAGGGAATGTGCCAGATAGATTTCTTACTGAATTGTTTTGGGGTCTGTCTTTTAATGGCTTAGCATTCCATTGCAACTTTTGAGAAAATACTTTTTATTGGTCAAAATAGCTGAATTTGATTGGATAATGAAGACTTTTGCTTCGAAAAATTATCATGTTTGCATTTTCAGAAGGCATGCATGTTCTCTATAGTAACAGTCACCAAGTCCATTTGTAACCATGCTCTGTTAATCTTGTGTCAACTGAAGTCTGGTTAATAGAGTCTTGCACATACTATTCATGTGAGGGTCTAAGAAACAAGAGCACCATTTCTTTGAAAAAAAACTCGTGTGATCTCAAAATTTGTTTTTTCGTGCAATTCAAGGTGAAACATGGTAAAAATGATTGTGGTCTTGAATACAATAAAAGGGTTACGGTAATAGTATTCAAGATTCATCTCGGCATATTTCCAATTCAAATAAGGCTGTAGTCTATCTTTAAAGATGTAGAGATAGGTATTCTATTGTTTATAGACCAGTAAATTGTAGGTATTTAGGTAAGATCAGGAGGTGAGATCTACCTACTAGACACTAGTCTGCTACTAATATACTTAACATCTGTACCATAGAGTAATAACCTATCAAATATTTTGTTTTAACTGTTTTGTCCTGAGAGATCTTGATTCCTTTATGGTTAATCTAAAGCCTATCTTGGAACAAAACATACTTAAAATCAGATTTTCAGCCTGAATTGGTGTCATCAAATTCAGAGAGTTGGCTAATGGCTATGTGTTAGCAATATTTTCCTCACTGCACACTGCATGCCCTATGTCATAAGAAAATATCTAAAAAATGTAGGATGTAAAACTCAAAATTTCATCCAAATTTGTAAGGTAAAGGACGACACAAAATTTTATTGTTTTTCCTCAAATGCTATTTTCCAGAATTATTTGTTATTTTAATTTATATAAAGCTTTGGTATACAATATGTAGGTTGTAAGAAAATGATAAGTTCTAACTTGGTCACTTTTGACCTAGAAATATCTGAGTTATTTACCTTGAAGTAATTGAAATTTCACATATAAGTAGAGTAAATGTTGGAGATCATTGACATTGGGTGGAAACTTTGTCATTGTAGCCTAGTAGATTAGTTAGATCTGAGATTTGTTGACTGAGAAAAGACACATTCATGTATTTACTGTTTGAATAGTTCTACATTAGAAGGTCTATAAGTAATACCTATAAGAACTACACTAATAGTATAAGATGTCAAAGTAAACTTATAAGAAAATAATGAACCATTGTTGAATATCAGTTTACCTTCTTTAGATTATTTACATAACTACCTTTATTTCAATCCTGTTTCTAAAAATACATTCCTCTTATCTAACATTCTATCATTCTTACAATGAAGAACTGCGTTTCCACTGACAATTGTGAAGGAAAGCTAGCTCTAAGCTAGCTTAGAGCTAGCTTTATTGCCGAACACGTTGCGTTTACACTGAGTTTTTCTGGTTCCCGAACGACTTTGGTCTCGATCATAAAGTCGCACATTATTGACAGCACGCGATGTCAAGACTATCGTTAAATCGGAAGTACATTATTGCGCATGACCATTTAAGGTAAACAAAGCAATAATGGCGACCAATTCGATATTAACTTCGATATAAATTTTTAGTTAAAGAGAAGAGAAAACACAATTCTTACAGTGGATGTAACTTGGACATTCGTAGATACTTGCAGCGACGAAAGAAAGTTCAAATGCTGGTTTTGATTCTGATAAGAATTCTTTTTTCCGTTTGCTATGGAAGCTGCCATTTTTAAAGTTGCGCGCGCTGCCGGAAAGACAAGTACGCCCCCTATTGCCGAACGAGAAAAAAGGCGGCTTTTTGTGTTTCCACTGAGTAAACGAAAGCCGGCTTTCATTTGGCCCCCAATAAATTGCCGAACGAGAAAAGCTTCAATTGCCGAACCGTTACGGTTTCCGAACGCTAACAGTTCGGCAATTTGTCAGTGGAAACACAAAAAAGCCGGCAAAGAGCTAATATTATAATAAATTTAGTATATTATTTTCAGAAGGTAAATATTGTCTTTGAGTAATATGAATGATTGCCTGTCAAATATAGGAACAGGTTATTCTGCCAATCTCAGTTGTTAGCTTACAATTTATACCATTGCCATATCCTTAACACTTAAATTCAAAGTCATTCAAAAGTCTGATCTAGTGTATAAGAACACTTATAGTTCAAATTATACAGAAAGCAGACTAAAATAATTCTAGTAATTGGTAATTGTGATATCACAATCTACTTTGATTTTGTGGAATTACAGGAACCATAGACATTGGAATACAGTTTTTATTTCATATTTCATTGAACAGCATATTTTTGCTCTGTTATCTGAGGCCATGTCCGTTCACAATTGCTCATAAATACTCTAGAATCACAAAAGGATGAACCCTATTGAAAATCACAAAAATATATTTGATATTGCACTTATTCTTGAAAAAAACGATGAATTTTTAGCTTGTTAAGTGGCACAATTCTTGTTGGATTTTGAAAAACTTCGTAATATTGTTCATACTGGTGATTGTTACTTTACAGCCAAATAATCTTCTTTAAAATCAAATCTGCTAGTGGGTGTATATTTCTTTGTCTGGCAAGGAATTTTTCAAGTTCTCACTATCAATCTCCCACTGGAAATTGAAATCAATGAAACTTATTGAAACTCCTTATCCTTGATATAATTCCAAGAATTTCCCACTACAAACAGTAGAAATTCTCTAGTTAATTAAATTAGACTGATATATTATATTGTGTGAGGTGTAGATAGAGATAGTTAATCTGAGTATTTATTTAGAAGATATTGCCAACATATGTTTTCTCAGATATTACTTATGATTGTACTAGTAGTAGATAATACTTCCTATATATGATTGTTATCCCTGGCAATACTTAATATAATCTTACTTACTCTTCCTCTGTCTAATATATAAGGGTTTACCACACTTTGAAATGTTATTAAAGGAATTTAATAGTAGGGTTTCATTTAGATGAAAAATTTGATTTGCTATTGTAGTACGTTCAGATGACTTAAGTTAAGGCAGCTTAACTATTAACCGTTCTTTGAGTCTGGTTTACTGTTTTTTGGTGCGCGTTCAGACAGACATAAAACTTAAGCAAGCTTTGACATCTACCTGGGAAGTTCATGTGCATTATGACATAGGTAATAATGGCGTGAATATTTTTTAGACGATTGCGCATGCACAGACACGATACACGCTAAATGTTAGCCAGTAGTGTTCAGATGGCAAAAGCATTCCAAGTCAGGTTTTAAGCCACCTCAGAAGTAGGTGCAAGTTCAGTCAGCTTAAGTTTGACTGGTCACATTCAGACGACTAGAAATACTAGGCTCGAAGGACGATTGATAGTTAAGCTACCTTAACTTTTGTCGTCTGAATGCACTTTTAGTCACACACATCTCAGATTTGATTGATCAATTTTCATTTTGATTTTGATTTGCATTTCATAAAAATTTGGTGGCAATTGAAAATGTGATTGTAAACTTATTTATAAGTTACAATGGACCATCAAGTGTTGATTTATATTTAAAGAATGTGCGAATTTGTCAGAATTTTCTGCCGAAACAATATATGCATCTTCATTTGATTTACAGATTGTCTGGATAAATTTTCATTTGGGTTAATCATAGTCAAAGAAGGGCCATTTCCATACACAAACTGCCCCAAGTTAACCTTGTAAGTGAATTGGAGACACTTATTGCTATCTTTTTCCATTATTTTGTTTGCTCTTGTGATATTTGGTGGTTGACCATATTATGGATATCACAAAAACTATTAGCTGGAGAACTATAGCTTTTATGATTGTAATAAAATAACATACACCTAGAAACATACTGTTGAATATCTCATCTAGGTGTTATAAACCTAGTTTCCTGCACATTTTACTGATTTTATAAAAGAACGTGAATAACTCAGAGGCAATTAAAATTGTCAGCATGGTTTATATTTTTGCGGACAAACTAAGTATCTGATGTTCATTATGAACATTATTTCACTCTCTCTGTCGACATAGATAAGAGTTAAGTGTTTTTATACTTTTCATTTTATGTCAAGCACTAAAAGCTGTCCAGAATTTCAGGTTAGTGTGACCAGCTTAGAATATTGGTATTCAATTATTTCATGTGATGTCATGACCTGCTAATAAAACTTCAAGTGTACTCAATATTGTTGTGGATGATTTATCACACAACATCACCATCAATTCTACTTACAAGTGTCATTGAAAAGTTATTGAGACTTCCTTCTAGGAGAAAAAAATCGTTTTCTTTCCATTGATCTGACTGGAACAAAAACTGAACTCAATACAATTGATGCAGAAGTCAACAATTAAAAGGACGTTAAAGGTCATGGTTCAACATTTTTGTATCTTGGTCTCAGAAACAGCCTACCATAGAAATTTCACAATAAGTGTTTGAAAATTATATTAACAACTTGCTTTTTTCAAGACTCTATCATAACGGATGATTTCGGGAGTCCACAATAAGACTCTACCATAATGAAGAATTGTTAAGGACTGGATATCAAAAAAATCATCCGTACACCATACTTCCTATCATAGACCTTTTTGGGAACCCTCATTTTCAGACAGCAGATAAACTGGTGAAAGAAAAAGTAAAATCCCTAGTTTGAGATATTTTTGAAGGAATTCTTCAATTTTAAGGTTCTGGTACATCTGAATTCTATTTACTTATAATTGAAACTGAAATCAAGCTCTGAAAAGGGTGAACCATGCCTTAAAGCAGAATTTCAGGAGAGGTCTATTATGAATACACTTGATCTGTTGGTGCATAATTGGTTGCAAAAATGAGACCAATCAACTTGCAAGTCAGTTTTTAACCAATAGACCAGAAAAACTTAAAGATGGGTTCCCATATTTTCGTTTATATGAAAATTCTAACATTTATATGAATAGAAAGTAGAGGTTTTCTAATGACTTCGAAAAATACCAGTTTGTCTCACATGTCCATAATTAATTCATAATAAGCTAAATTAGAAGAGAATTATCAGCCCATTTAGTACACTGTATATACATGGACATTTATGATTGGTTAAAACTCTTAGTTATATGCAATAAGAACATAATGATATGATTAAAAATACATGATAATTCATTAGAAACATCAATTAATCAAATAGTTAGCTTAATTTGACTCTAAAAAAATAAGGAAACCCATCTTTAAGAAGCAGTCATATAACTTGACCCTTATTGAAATACCGAATTTCTCCAAATTAAACTTTTCACTTCCTTTCTAGAAAATTGGTATGTTATGAAAATATGGAATTTGGGCGTCTTACTATTTACAAATATTCAAGACCCCAATCAATCCCCAAAAATGGCAAACCATAGCTTTCAAGAATAAGTATTACCTTCCACTTGTGCTGGGTGGTTGATGGCTCAACTCATATATTTTAACATACAGAAACATTTCATATTAACAAGCTAGTAATAACCTTCTAGGTTAATTATAATACATGTATATCTGTTTCCACATGGCCTCCAGATACAACTTTTATTACCTTCCTAAATTAAAGAGCTGAATAAATTTATTTTACATTTACACTAAAGATCCAGACAAATTTCTTTTTGATCAATATAAATATTGTTCTGTAGCACAGTTGGTTGGTTTGAGCGTTAGAAATTTGACTTGACAATTGCTTGGTAACATCAAACAATTAGTAGCTGTGGCTTTTAATCTTAATGTGGTGTTAAAGTCTGGTGATTTTGAATAAGTCATCTCACGAGTCTGATATTTGCAGATGCTTTAAGGGTATCAGCTATGTTGGGGTCAAAAAAACAGAACTCAAGTTTTTCGGAAATTGGTGGGATTTAGGAATTAGTTCTCTACCCACAATCCACCTTACTTCTTAACATATTATTGTATGAAAACTTTGCATACATGTGTAATCTATCGATGTTATCAGGTTTCTACCACTTTTGCATGATGTCTACAGCTCTACCGACAGGATGCCCAATTCTACAGATTTTTTGTTTTTTTCTTAAACCAAATTTTCACGGGACCTACCGTTTTCAATGTCCAAATTCTCTACCATAAATCAACAAAATATCTATCATCACTTGTATCTTGATTGGTAACACACCTTTATCTCATCACGTAATAATATTATCATTGCCTGATTAATTAATCCCCTAATTAAGATGGTAATTTGATCTATTTTCTTTGTATTTTTTTATTTTTTTGCTTTTGTTTTCTGAATATTTAAGCTTGACTGATATGGAAATTTTGTGGAAAATCATCATATTGTGAATAACATCCTGAGAAATGTGGAAGGTGATCCTTGAAAAAGAAAAAAAGTAGCTTAGGACTGATGCTTTCTTGTTGCAAATCTTTTTGTAGTAACTTATAATTTGTATTTTGTCATTTCAGGGACCCGTCCAAATTAAATTTGAAAAAGTAGAATCTGGTAGTTTACCTCCCAAATTTTCAGACTTTTCATCACAGATTTTCCAAGATGACAAATTTGTAAGTTTTTAATCTTTATTCTAGTATCTTATATTTTTCTATGGATGACAGAGTAGATTGAGTAGAATTAGATATAGCTTGATTGATGAAACACTCTGAAATGTAAAACATAAGGGCTCTAGGCTATTGTTCATCTCAATTGAACATCGTGGTTATTATAAACTCAGTTTTATAATGTGGTCGTATATTGTCGTCA